CACACACACACACACACAGAAGTTCAATCCCAATACAACTCTTAACTTACCAATACTTTGATAAACCATCAATCATATGTTCAGGGTTCATTTCATTTTGTTGGAGAAAACAAGTGAATTAAAATCTTGTCTTCTTCGACACGTCTCCAAAGTCATAGCTGACAGTTGAGTCCTGACGTCACATCTGCGTCCTCCTCACCTGTCTGCTGGACGGCGCAGCGTCTCGGACTTTGTGAGCCACCTTGGTGAAGATGGTGACGAGCCAGCACTGACGGTCAAACTCGTCCCGGAGACCTCGACCTACACAGCAGAGCAGAGCGGCCAGTAGGTGCTGATAGCGAGCGCTGAACTGACTGTCCTGCAGGTTGTCCTTCAGCAGCCTGACACAGAGACACATTTGAATCATTCATGTCCCAGGTTGAATTCTGTATCTCTGTTAACTCTTCATTTCGGTCATTTGACGTCTCAGAGCAAGAAAGACACTGACTCACCAGAAGAGGTAGTGAGCAATGCGAATGTCCCCGATGGCTCTTCGCAGGAGGAATCGAACCAGAGAGCTGTCCAGGTAACACTCGTACTTCAGAGCCTGAGAGAGAGACAGAGAGAGAGACGGGATCGGTCGTGGTTCAGAGATGCTCAGCTTGCATTTAACAGGTGTCCTTCAACTGTTCCTGTCCTTCACCTGTCCCTGTCCTTCACCTGTCCATGTCCCTCACCTGTCTGCGTCCTTTCACCTGTCTGTGTCCCTCCCCTGTCTGTGTCCTTCACCTGTCCCTGATCAGTCCAGAGATGACCACATCAAATGAAGTGACTCTGAATCATCCAGGTATTCACACTTCCTGTCATCATGTTACCTGGACAAGTTGAGGCAGGAAGTCAAGCAACTCTGGGTCTGAGATGGAGTCCATCCACTGGACGGCCGTCCTCCTCAGCTCCTGGTCCGAGAACCTGAAACACACACGATGAAGTCACATGATGATGTCAAGTGCTCAGACTGTCGCACGGACAGGTGAGTGTGAGTGAGAGGAAACTTACGAAGCATGGAGGAGTCCAAGAGCGTCCAGGTGACCCAGGCAGGCCCACTGTCTCAGCAGAGCGTAGATGTCAGGCAGACAGGCCCATTCCCAGCAGGGGGCGCTGGCAAGAACCAGAGGCAGAGCTGCACTCTCAGACTGACAGAAGGCCTTCTTCTCCCACAGGAGACGCTTATCCTCCGCCGTTAACCTGCACAGGTACGACACACACAGGTATGACACACAGGGTGCAGTGTGCTGTGTGTATGTGTCTCAGTGTGTCTGTGTGTGTGTCTAACCAGAAGACAGCCTTCTTGTGAAGGACGTCCTGCAGCTGGATCTGAGTGATGGTGTCCAGTCTGGAGAAGTCGTACTGAGGACAGAAGTCTGCCGGAGGAGGAGTACTGAAGCGAACCTCGAAAGAAGAGGTGGGAAAGTCCACCTGAGACACAAAGACACATAAAGAGACAGAGAGACGAACAGCAGTCAGAGTGATGTTCAACTTTTACTCTGTATAGTATCCTTCCCCCTGAGCTCCAACAGAGGGCGCTCTGCTTCAGAACTGTACACTGTGTGTGTGTGTGTCACCTGCACAATCACACTGTCTGGTTGGCTGAAGTTGGGTGAACTCGTTCGAGCATTTCCGCTCCTCCCTGGGGTCGAAGGCCACAGGCCCAGTAACTTCCTTCCACATGTCAGGACACTGCGCGCACACACACACACAAAATACATCACACTGGGACCTATGACAGCGGGGGGGGGGGGCACTTTGTGTGTGTCTGAGGTTTTAGAATCAGAAACTGGACAGGATGACAAAGCTACCTTAGTTTAGCTTAGCATAAAGACTGGAAACGGAAGTCACTTAGCATAGGTCCATGTGTGCATTGGTCATCTGGGGGTTTCATACTGCTGGACTGTTGAATTTAGGCTCAGTACTTTCTTTAATGATGCTTCTGTGCTGGAATGTTACTGTATCTGCTGTCTCAGCTTCCTAAATGTTGCACTTACATGCAGAAGCTAATGATCCGACTTGATTCTTGTTGTTCTAGGTTTGTTCCCTCATGGTTGATGCACTTGTTGTTAGTCGCTTTGGATAAAAGCATCGGCTCTATGATATGTAATGATATGTAATGATATGGACCGGACCCTCTGTGTGAGCATCATGTGACTCACTGTCTGAAGTTGAAGAGCGGCATGGTGACCCAACCGAGAGCCTCGATGCTGCGACGCTGCTTCCCTTTGTCCTCAGCTCCTACAGGGGGGGGCAGAGAGCTGGCAAACAGCGTCACCGTCAACTGAGACTCTCGCGGGAGCTGGTTGATCTGCACCGGGAAGCACACCCTGCAGGGGGCAGTATTTTAAATTAAATCCAAACATTACAGGTGAAGCTCCAGTGAGACTCAAGATGGGAACGTACCTCTGGTCCCACACCACCAGGTGGAACAGGTATTTGCTGACCGCCTGTTTGCTGGTGTGCTGTGGCGCACAGAGCTCCACCCCTCCATGAGTCAGAGAGCAGGACAGGAAGAAACCTTCGTAACTGACCAGAGAGCAAGACAGAGACATGATGTCATGATGAGGTCAGACAGTAGGAAAGGCACTGGCAAGCCGTTTGTCACCAAGCTGTTTTAAAACAGATCACTGTTGCTAAGGTCACGCCCAGTGTCCGCACGTGAGTTTGTGAGTCTCTAAAACTGAGACTAGAGCTGCACGATATAATGAAAACATACAATATGCAATATGCAATAAACCTTGTTGAATATCGTGATGACGATATGACTTGTGATAAATAAATAAATTCTTAAGTATAAAGTGTTTTCTGCTTTGGTTTCACTGCCAACATAGACATACTCATACAGAGAGAGTTCAATACAGACACTGAAAAAAAGGAAAAGCATTACTTCTATGGCTACAGACGCAGACACCACGGACACAGCGCCACCGAGTCTAGGGCAGACACCAGGGAGCGCGATTCACACTCCACTCAGTGTTAATTTGGGTCTTTTCATACATGTTTGGACTGTGAATGTTGTTTTTTACAGTCTTAGCATCTGTCAGTTATTTCCTGTGTGTCTCTATCATTCACACTGAGCTCTGCACCATCTCCAGCTACACATACGTTGATTAATTAAAAAACACTGATCTCAATATGTTTCATTTATTATCTAGTGTTAGTGTGGACGCAGATCACGCAGACTGCTAGTGTTGCTGACAGACGTGTCAAAGCAGCCGGCCCTGCCTCTTCTCAGAGGTCAAAGATCAGCCTTTGTTAAATAAAGCCCTGTGTTTGGGGGTGTGGGGGAGGGGCAGACAGCTGCTTTCAGATCAGCTGAATCATCAGTGCATTTGTTCTCACTGAGGCTATGATGACCGCTGCAGCCTCCAGGGGGCGCTAACAGGACTCAGAGTGTCATCTCGCAGAGACACTGAGTCACATGTCTAACAAACACACTGCAGCATCATGTGACCTAAAACACCACTGACCCCACCTCCAAGGTCATTTTAACAGAGAGCGAGTGAAGGGGAGTGTCCAGAGTCATGTGATGTTTTCTGCTTGTATCACGTGCACACACATGGTGTTTACATGCAAAGGTTAAAGACTAAACGTCACATTAGATGATTGTTGACGCTCTCGAGAGGTTGGACCGAAGCTGCGTTTGAGTCAACACTGTTTGTGTGTGTGTGTACTTGTATTTATATCTTTGTGAGGACCATTTTATGCGTAGAGCATACAGAGTGAGGACATTTTGGCCTGTCCTCGCTTTCTGATTCACTGGTAGTGGGTTGTTTGAGACTTGGTTTGAGGGTTAGAATTAGGTATTTAATTTTGAGGGTCAATGTTAGAATAAGGGGCTCAGGGTTGTATTATGCCGATGAGTGTCCTCGCTAAGACAGAAGAGCAAACATGTACCTGGCGGCCCAGGTGATGGGGATCCTGTGGGCGGCGTAAACGTTGAAGGACAGCACGTTAGTGACGAGGCCGGCCTCCTGGACCGGCGCTGTGCAGCACTGACTCTGCGGCGTCGTGTGGAAGTTGGCGTTAAACGTGCTGCAGTACAGCTCCACCAAATCCAAGATAGCTGCCGTCAACTTCTCCACCACTTTATCTGTGAAACAAGATCAGGATGGACAGGAGTATGAAGACGGCACTCACTCTTCACACACTGAGTCAGAGCCGGAACTACTTCCTGCTGAAGAAAGTCAGTTAGAGCGTCGGGGTCAGAACACCTTTAACGCTGTGTGTCGGTTTCATTAACATGTTGTTATTCTTGTGTTTGTGTTGAATGTCAAATAAATTCAACTAATGATGATTAATAAATGATTTTAATTGATGAGAGGAGGAATCACATTGTTGCCATAGTGACATATACAGTACACCTTCAACAACAAGGTGTTCAGGTACATCAGGAGCTAGGCAACAGGGTTTGATATGAGCATTTGACATGCCAACTGTGTACATACCTCTGTTCTCTCTGATGGCGAGCACTGATGCATCCTGGGAGGACAGACATAGGAAACAGACGTTCAGAGTGACCTTACGAAAAAACAGACAGTGTCAAGACGCTGTCGCCGTCTCTCACCTTCAGGACTTTGGGCTGCAAGCGACAGGGGCATGCTGGGAGCTGGTTGAGGGCAGAGGTCACATCAGGCGTTTCCACGGCTGCTAATGAGCTGCAGAGCGCCTTCACTGATTGGACAAGGCGCTCGACGTGCAGCGGTAGCTCCGCCTTCAAAAATTGAGCAAATAAGATTACATGGTTACATTTAAATTGAGGAATAGACTGAGGACGAGTGTGAACAGATGTTTGATCTGGATCTGAAGTATGTCTACGAGTGTGTGAAGTTCCCTTTACAGAACGTGTGTGTGTGTGTGTGTGTGCGTGTATGTGTGCGTGTTACCTCTGACAGAAGGAAGGACTCGGCTTCGTTGTGAAAAGTGTCGAGCAGAAGGGTCAAAGCCTCCCTGAACACAACACGACACAACAACCTGAGACGCCATCTTCTACCGTATGTCACTTTATTTGTG